TATGGTGTAATTGATAGTATGTACAATCTTAGTAACTCGTGTATTCGTTTAAAAGATCAGGTAACACAGAGTTTCCTTGTAAAATTGGGTGTTAAACAAGGTGATAACTTATGTCCAAACTTATTCAAAATATTTATCAATGATTTGCCTAATTTTATGCAAAGTACTGATTATAGTGTTGGTTTATATGGCAATTTTATTCATTGTCTAATGTACATGTATGCAGATGATGTTTTTTTTTTTTTTTTGCTATCAAAGTCTCCAACAGGTCTTCAACAAAAATTTGACTATCTTGCAAATTCTGTAAGGACTGGTGCTTCACAGCCAATGTGTCCAAAACAAAGGTTCTAATTCTTAATAAAGCAGGTCGTCACATATCACAGGAATTTTTGCTGGATACAGAGCCAATAGAATGTGATACATCTTATAAGTACTTAGGCATTAATTTCACATCATCAGGGAGTTTCTCTGTGGCACAAGAAGAAAATTTAAAAAAAAAAAAAAAAAAAAAAAAAAAAAAAAAAAATTTAAAAGCACTTAAAGCTTATTTCAAACTTCAGAAGGATTTTTTTGTGTTTAAATCCTGATGTGAAATATTCTACTCGTGTGTTTGATCATACCATTCAACCTATTCTGCTGTATGGTTGTGAAATTTGGGGTTCATTTAGTACTCAGTCAGCATGTTTCCGTAATATTCAATAAATCTAGATGAAATATATTCTAAAGTTTTGTGCGAAAAACTACATATTATATTTTGCAGATATACTCTCGGAGTTCATAAGAAAAGTGCAAAATGTGCATTTCTTGCTGAATTGCGAAGATTTCTCCTTGGTTTTAATATAATATCACACATGTTGAAGTATTGGCATCGATTAAAAAATCTAGGTCAATCATTTCCCCTTTTGCAAGCAGCATACTTTGCAGATATGTACAATTTTGAAAACAAAAAACCACTTTGGTGTGGTAGTATAAATATGTTATTGAAATATCTTCCAAAATTAAGAAACTTTCAGCACTCAACCATATTTTCATTCACAGCACAATGGAAAAAAACTTTTACATTTTCATTTTTTGGATATTGGTACAAGAAGAGAGATTTTTTATCTTATCTGGAAACCTTGATACATACTATAAAATTAAGCAAAATTTGGGTTTTGAAAACTATTTGGCAATTATTTGTAATTTTGATCAGAGAAAGACACTCGCTAAATTTAGAATTTCTGCACACAAACTTAGAATTGAAACAGGCAGATACATGGGCTTATCTAGGACTGCGAGAAATTGTATGAACTGTTCATTTAATGAGGTTGAAGATGAAATACATTTTCTTTTTAATTGTCCAAAGAATGCTTCCAAAAGAAAGTAACCATTCTTGAAAATACAGAGCACTTGTCAATTATTTAATGATTTAACACTGTCTAATAAATTTCTTTGGCTTTTGAACTGTGAAGACTATGATATTCTCTGCATACTTTGTCGGATGCTAAGCTCATGAGATATAGGTGTATTTTTTGCCCTCAAGATTTCTGTTTTTTATAGAATTGATCATCATATATCTCATAATGTCATCTTATAGGATTTTATAGATTTATATGCGTTGTTTATGTATTAATTGCACTAAGCAAGAGTGGATTTGATTTGTCCTGTAGCACCGTCTCTCGTTGCTATTTGCTGTTAATCTATACACAAGTATCTCATATCTTACTCATTTTTAAGACATGAACTCATACAATATTTCTTAAGCAGGGTATGGTTTTCCTTATTATGTTATTGTACTTCAACATATATATGTTACATTGGAATATTGCTCCAGTAAAACTGGACCAATTGATGTCTTTTAGCACCGCCTCTTGTTACTTCTTGCTGTATTTCTTTGTACATGTATATGTAATCATTTATCTACTGATTTTTATGATTTTTCCCATTATCTTTGTATTTTTAGATGTACAAAGAGCACACGGCGGGTGTGATCGGTTGGCAGGGGATGCTCACTCCTCCATGGCACCTGATCCCAGATCTGATGCTTTGGAGGTCCGTGTTTGCTCTGTTCCTATTTTGTATTGTTTAATGGACTTTTGAGCTTGAATACTGTTCGTTTTCTCCATATATTCCATGTCCCTGTACAAGTTTGGTTAAGTAAAATTGAGCATAATTTGACCTTGTCTCTTATACATCCGACTGTCTCTTAGTGACCGGGGATCTATGTACTTAAACTACACACCACCGATGTAGCTTATATTCTACTCATAATGTTTCATTCACTATTTTGCATTAATGTTAATTTATTAAAAAAAAAATATATGATTAGTTTACTAACCTTTTAGGCATTTTTTCTTTTCTTTTTTTCAATGTTTATGTCTAGTCCTCATAATACATTATACAAACTGAACTCCAAGCTACATTGTATCTAGTCTTCATTATACTATTATACAAACTGAACAATGAGCTAATTAGTTACATATAGATTATACTAATGTGTTTAATGTGTATTTAAATGTAATCAAAATTCTTATATATGTCATGCCCCATGAAGCCCTAATTTGGAAATAAATTCTATTCTATTCTACTAAAAAAAATATATAAAAATACACAGTAAATACATATTCAACATATTAGTAGTATTTAATATATATATAGAGAGAGAAGGCAAGGCGAGTAAAATGTTATAAAGTAATTTAATTCCCACATCTGTCAACAGCTTCGATAGCGTAGTGATTGATTGATTGTATATTGTTTTACGTCCCATTCGAGAATTTTTCACTCATATGAAGACATCACTATATACCGGTGAAGGGCTTCAAATTTAGACCTTCATGCGACACTCAGGGCCATTGAGCAGTGAGGGTTCTTTATCGTGGCAACGCCTACCGTGACACGGGGCCTCGGTTTTTAAGGTCTCATCCTAAGGACCCGCTTCAAAGTGCCGAGCGCTTGGCGAAGGATTAGTTACTATCTATTTTTCATCGACTTAGGTCAGTCGCGGCCGAGATTCGAACTCACGACCTCCCGATCACAGAGCGAGCGCTCTACCGACTGAGCTACCTTGACAGCCGATAGCGTAGTGAGATAAGTATCTGCCTATCTTGATGAGGGAACCGGGATCGATTCTTAGTGGCTCCGCTACGATTTTTTTCTTGATATGAAAATAAACTTAGAAAAGGAGAATTTGAACATAGCAAATACCGTTTCAATGTAATTTGCAACTCTCCATTCCTGAAAAATAATGGAGAGCTTAAACAAAAGAGTGAAGTCAGAAGTGGATTGCAACTATATTTCTCTGAGAACAAAAGCCCGGAAGGGTCAAATAGGCTTTCGTATCTTAATGAAAAAACTGTTTTATAAGAAACATTCCTGATCGGCAGGACAGTATTTTGTGTACTTTAAAATGAAATATATGGATGTAACGAACAGTATTCAAGCTCAAACGTCCATTCAAACAATACAAATCAGGAGCCAAAAAAAAAACACGGACCTGTAAAACATCAGAGGTGGGATCAGTTGCCATGGAGGAATGAGCATCCGGTCCCCTGCAATCGGTCACACCCGCAATGTGCTCCTTGTCATGATCGGGAAATAACGGGAAAATCCGTTGACAATTAGTGTAAATAATGGCCTAAAAATAAGTATAAAAAACGTCAGTCAGCATTTGACTTAGTGATAGATTGTATTTGCTGACAAGGTCATTGTATCGACCATAGAACTTACGAAATGATGACTTTAAACGAGACTGTTGATATTCTTGTTTCATCAACTTGTTTCTCAATAATTTACCTCGTTTTAGAAATTGTTCATATGTAGAGCATGCTCTTGCGTATTGAATCAACTGAGAGATTTAAACTCCATATGCAGATGATGAGGGTAAGGGAATTTGACGATTGTAAAGTTAAAGTCATCACGTTTATACTAAGCTTTGTTGTTATATTACTATTAAGGTCTTTTTCTAACAAAATATTCAAATATGAAACAGATGTATCAGACTCTGTGGTATCTTTTATGTCAAGCTTACTGGGATATATCGTGTCGACATATGAATAGAAATAACTATTGTTAATTGATAATACGTTCGTCGATATATCTAAATGTCGAGTTGAATGCCACAGCAAGAGTTTAATTTTTCTCATGATTTTGAATAAATTCTGCTTCATATGAATACAAAAATATATCTGCTAATAATGGGACGCAATTGGTACCTATGGGAATTCCAACAGATTGTTGGAATACCTGCTCTCCAAAAACCACATATATAGATATTGTCAATCAGGAACTCAAGCATCTTTTTAATATCAACTTCAGAGTACTTGTGTGTACAATCAGAATTTTTTTTAACAAAATAATTTTGCAAATGACCAATGACAAAGTAAGTAAATTTACGAGTTCAATTTCGCACAAAACAAATTACTCAATACCGTACTCAAAAGTCTGTACAACAACATAACAGTATTGGCATTTCCGGTAACTAGAGACATAAATAGCAGGAATATTTATGCCCCTGTTGTCTCTTTAGTATGGATTAATTTTTTTTCGAAACAATTATTATCAAATTATTTTTTACAGCTGACACCGGTTTTTACCCTTGACTCCAGTCGCTGCCGCTAGGAAGTACACATGTATAAGTTTGTTTTTTTTTTTTAAAGAGCGCTCGTGCTCGTTAACCAGTGCTAGGAAACCAGTCAATAAATGTCTCAAGTAGACAATTTTTTGCGCACATATAGAAAATTTGTTTCGAACAGCGTGAAACATGCATATATATCACAAAGAAATTGTTTTTAATTTTATTTTTCGATTTTAGCATATTCATTAATATGAGAGGCAAAGGATCGAGTGATCTTTTCTGATTGAAGTTTACCAGTCGTTCATCTGTTTACTCTCACTTTGTTGACCTTTTCTCCAGAAACAATGTGCCAATTTCAACCAATATGGCATTCCTTCCAACGAAGTGTCATTCCCCTTCCAAGAGAAGATAATCAAGGAAAGGAAAGGTCATTTAAAAGTGTACCCTTTAAGAATCACTGAGCTACACAAGATAAAACTTAATGTATAACATCGACATTACTGTAAGTAAAATATGCGTCGGCCTTAAAAAAATATGTTGAGTTTGTATATAGCGTGTTGTTATAATTATTTTTTATAAACCGAGAAGGTAAAGGTAGGGGTAAAATATCAAGTCCATTGAAAATATCATTATCACTTGTGCAAAATATTATCATGTACGATGCTAAGCGCTTGGATATGATTATTTTAAGAAAGAATTAAAATTCGTTTGACTTTTTTTCCGTTTTAGATAAAAACAGAAAAACAGATGGCTATTATAAGTTATGCAAACGCACACAGATCCTCTGGAATATGTTTCCATCTGCGACATGTTGATTTTTCAAATACATCCTTAAGTACAGGATCAGGGATCATGCAAGCTCACATCAATGAGATGCTTGAATATCTTGATTCAAAAATGGAAATAGAAGAGTTTACTGTTGGAAAGACACACACTAGGTCGAAAAGTAATTGGTATTTTCAGGTCAATGACGTTGACTCTTGGAATCTATCGGGAATTCGTTCAGCTTGGAAGAGATTCAGGGAACTGGGATTTCATAACCTTATTGTCGTGTCTGTCGTAGATGAGAACAGAATTCCTCTGCTGAATACATTATGGCCAAGCAATGACACTGAAGATTTTACCATTGCACTGAAACAGAAATTAATCCATTATTATAAAATCACCAAAAAGGACAAAAGACTACGAAATCAAAACTTTGGAGAAGGAGCAAGAAAAGTTCACTCACAGCATGGTGTGTTATTCATCGCAATTAAATACAAAGAGACAACGCGAGATCAATCTAACCCGTGGCTTGACCTTCTGTCCTGTTTTGGATTACTTTTGTCTATAATCGTGTTTGGGGTCATAGATATTATGTGTTACATGCTGAAGCTGTGTATCGGAAAACAGAAAAAATCCCGTAGGAAAAAAGTTAAAAATCTGTCCTTTTTTTAATTTTTTATTTTACCGAATAACAAAACAAAGCGTGCCATAATTTGCTTACAGGTGAATTATTTATGTAATGATGGACTATTTTAATTATTCTATATATATGGTCATTTTGACACACACCCCCCCCCCCCCCAATCCATTGCAAGTTAGCAGCAAAAGACCATTCTCTGCCTCCATTGACTCTGCATGTATGTTTAGTGTTTTAGTTCTAGAGAAGTTTAGTTTTTTGTTCCATAAATACTTTAATTGCTCTGTAAAAATCAAATACATTTTTTGGCAATTTTATCGTCTATACTTTCGCTTTGACATTTATATTCCATTTTTTTTACCAGTGTAAAGTTTAAATTGAATCAATTTAGTGAGCACTAGATATTATATGTATCTTATTTTAAAACGCAAATCGTGGGTTGTTTTGAAACTTAAACATGGTTGTTGCAAATTGTATTTCATATACAAACTGTGTATTGAAAATCAGGAGGAAAATCAAAGAAAAGATGCTTTATCTAGGATGCTTTCAGAAGGCTAGCTAGTAACAAAGTTTGAAAGGACAGAGATCGATGTAAATTCATATGACATGAAAATCCACGAAGACTAAAAGGACTTCAAGAACGGAAGATTTTCTTGTTGAAATGGAGACTAGATAATGTAGCAAACTCCTCAGAAAAGTGTCCGATCTATGGTTTTAGAAATAGATGCTAGCAATATCAGCATTTCTACTGCATGAATATTGAACTTTGAAATAAAATATGTTATCAACGTTAAAATTTCTCAATAACAATGCCTCAAGAAAAGAGTTTTACTCCTGCATTCGTTGGCATGGATCTCAATCATTTGGGTTTTTTTTCGTTGGGTCTTTCTTAAGAACAGTGTCTGCAATCCTAGTTCACAGATAATGAAAGAGCTCATAAAACAGAAAACTTCAAAAAAGTGTTTCAATAATAAAAAAAAATAATAATAATAAAGTGTGAGGAAATGTAAAAAAAAAAAAAAAAAAAAAAAAAAAAAGAGAGAGAGAGAGAGAGAGAGAGAGAGAAGCAACTTTCTCTTTTAGTTCAATTAGGGGAGACCATACATGTATATAACATGCAATAAGAGCTTTTGATTTTGTAAAATTCAACGAAACAAAAATATTATGACGCAATTAAGAAATTTCGCTAATTTTCATTAATGGTGGAGATTTCATTCAGTGTATTATTTTTTATGATAGTAATACATAATAAGTCTAATGGATACATGCATTAAATTGATGAAAAGACTTCTCTGTATCGTTTCCTTGTGTTCGTCAATTTGCAGACTCAGAATGACACATATATTATGAAACAGCCTCATATTATTGCTTGCAATATCATACATTCTAGTTCTTGATCCATTTTATCATTTGTTTCATATTTTGATATTTTACTGATTATAGACGTTTATGGCCAATTATCCAACGGGATGACTTCAGAAGTCTCTAAAACATCAGGTAATTCTTATTTAAATTGTAAGGCACTTTTGCTATAGGTCCGAAAATTACATGTATGTTCACTGTTTGAATCATTTGCTAAAAAAGGCATTCGGACGCAACTTAATTAACCGTTAGATAGAAATTGTAAACAATTCTCTCTCTCTCTCTCTCTCTCTCTCTCTCTCTCTCTCTCTCTGGAAAGTTTGAGCGAAATAGAAAATCTTTTTTAAACAATGATACATAAGTCAAATCAGAATGTAAGCATTTCCACATAGTGTACATTGATGTCGATTAAAGTTGTAAATCCATCATAAAAGACATTTGTGAGATTTAATGAGAACAATAGATCATCGTTATATCTTCAATTTACCTCAGGTGAGCATTTTAAACCACGGGCCTCTTGATTTATTTGTTTATCTTCCCCAAAATATATCCTTAACAAAATCTACCAGGGGTCATGTTTCTACGGGGGTCATTTTTCTTCACGTAGGGTATGCAGATTTTAAGGGTGATGCCACTTTTCTAAAGGCAAAAGGGTCATTTTTCTGCGTCGAATAATGACCGGGGGTCATTTTTGGACGTCGAAAAATGACCCCCGGATATTATTGAACGGTGATCATTATTCGACTTAACACCGGGCGCTTAGCTAAGGAACAGTTTGACGCGGCGAGTCGAACCTCGGGCGTCGAAGTAAAGCGAACGACCTACCACTAGGCTACCGTGATTCGTAAAAGTTCAACTGTGCCTTTAGGTTAAAATATTAATCTACTAATTGGTAATAAAAAGGATTCTAGCCCAAGGGTTTTATGGTGTACGCAATGCCTATATCATTAGTTACATTGTCTAAAGGTTTATTAGTACTGTAAAACCGTGCTTAAATCTGATGATTCCAGAACAAATAGAATTGAACAATCAACAATTGGCAATTCTTTTTTATTATATGCCATTTTTTGGCAGGTCGTATTATGATATAAGCTTTACTTTACCTCCGTCTGTCTGTCCGTCTGAGATCTTTTTCTTGTCTGGTCGTATCTTTCATTCTGTGAGGCCTACTTTGGAATCATTAGATTTCGTGGTGGCTCAATTTTCGTGGGTAACTTTCATTCACGAATTAACACCCTCCACGAATTAATAAACTCTGGTTGCAATGTTTTATTTCCTTTTGTAGGTGTAAAGAAATACACAAAATTATGTCCCAACGAACCTGTAAAATTTAAGCAATCCACGAAAATTGGCCCCCATGAATTTTAATGATTCTACAGTAACTCCACAAAACTTGGTCACGTGATGCACATTAGAGGTAAGTTGGTTATCGCATCCAAATTAGGTCACTTTTGCCTTATTGTAGAATGTTACAGCTATACACAATCAAAATTGTGTTTGGTCAGATCTGGCAAACTATGAAGTCTGGGACCAATAAATTTTGTCAGTTGATGCATTTTAGGGGAAGGTGTCACCATGACGTCAATTTAGAATTTCTATGCCATTCATAGTGAAATCATGCCTGTATCTTGTCTTGCACATTGAAAAGCCTAGAATCATCCAACTTTATTAGTTGATACATTTTGGGGGAAGGTGTGCTGCTACCCAAAAGAGATCACCATTGTATTATTTTGAAATCTTAAAGCTATGCATAATCATAATGGTGTTTGGATCCTATCTAGCAATGGATCACATGCATCTTTTGGCTATGAATATGCATAAATAGATATGCGTCATGTACATCTACTGCTAGACGGGAATATGATGTACCCTTTTGGGGTACTTTATAAATAAAGATAACGAACAGTGATCAAACTCAAAAATTCAATAAAGAACCATGAACAGGGCAAAGAACGAGGACCTTTGTTTTGTATACACCTGACTAATCATTAAAAAATTGCTATTTAAAATCATTTCCGATACGTTGCAATGTCTCTGTGTCGGATGATTATGGTCATAGGGTAAGATACATAAGTGATTTCTTACAGCAAGTTGCAACGTTTTAAAACAAATTGTATTCCAGTATAGAATAATTATATATCAGTGCAGATACACGTATAAACTTGCAACTTGAAAGTTTTACTAGAAATAATTTACTCAATAAAGATAATTGAGTCCAGTTATCGAAACAATACAACATGATCTTGATTACAACTATACTTAAATATTGCATATTTAAGAAATGTTATTGCCCCAAAATATCTACTTACAACTTTGGGATTTTTTTATTTATCTTTTTTTATTTTATTTTATTTGTTTATTTATTTATTTATTTATTTATTTATTTATTTATTTATTTATTTATTTATTCATTTATTTATTTTGTTAAATAGAACTCTAATAATTTCACCTTTTGTTGAATTGATTTTATAATACATTCTATAAGTCGGCGAAAGACATATATATTTATATATAAGAATTTTTTTCTGATTCAAAACTTACATATGTAGCATAAAGTATGTATATTAACAAATCAAGGTTTAAGTATTTTTTTTTCGAGTTGGATGAAATACTTGACAGCTTTTTGGTCAATATGGGTGGTTTTGTATCCAATCTCAGATGAATCAAGAGATACGACTGAGCTATTTATAATGCCTTCCAAAACTTATTCGGCATTTAAATCAGCTTGAAAATTGATTGCAACGCTTTGTGTATAACGACATTTTAGAGCCCCCCCCCCCTTCCTCATTCCCTATCGATAGATAATAAATGTCAACAGATATTCTTTAAAAAATAATAATTTAATTAAATTAATATAAACAAAATCATTTTTGAAAAAAGAACATGTTTCTTTAGGTTATCGATACAAAATCTTCTTAATAATACAATAAACTTCAACTTCATTTTTTTTTCTAACTGGTCCTTCATTCATGCATGTTTCTAGTACAAGTGTAGTCCATCGACAATCTTTTATATGCCAATCTTACTAATTTGAATTATAGCTGCATATAAACATTTTCTGTATTGCTTGCAACAAGAAGAAATAGTTAGAAAAATGGGAAACATCATTAATAGACATTAATATTTGAATTTTCTTTGCACGATACAGAACGCTTGAATATGATTGTTTAAGCAATGCATTTATTTTCATTGTCTGACTTTATTCCTTTCTCAATTTAGAAAATAAAGCAATAAATGGATATCATAACTTATGCAAACGCACACAACTCAACTGGAATATGTTCCTACTTACAACATATAGACTTTTCATATACATCCCTTGATACAGCTTCAGGGATCATGCAAGCTCACATTGATGAGGTGCTTGAAGATCTTGATTCAAAAAAAGAAATAGAGACGTTCACAGTTGGAAAAACGCATACTAGGTCAAAAAATAATTGGTTTTTTCCAGTCGATAACATGAACTCTTGGAATCTATCGGGAATTCGTTCAGCTTGGAGGAGATTCAGGGATGCTGGATATCATAACCTTATCGTACTGTCCGTCATAGATGAGCACCAGTTTCCTCTGCTGAATGCTTTATGGCCAAGCAACGACACTGAAGATTTTACCATTGCACTGAAACAGAAATTAATCCATTATTATAAAATCATCAAAAAAGACAAAAGACTACGAAATCAAAACTTTGGAGAAGGAGCAAGAAAAGTCCACTCACATCATGGTGTGTTGTTCATCGCCGT